TGTATTGTTTTAAAATCAAATTTTAAACTGTTAAAAAATGTTTACTTTCCTGGAATTATATTTTATATGCAAGTCCATTAAGGGCATTGCAATGAACTGAATGTTTGCGTCTTCCCTTCCCCCCAATTCACATGCTGAAAAATCCTAACCCACCCCCTACAATGCGATGGTATTAGGAAGTGGGGCCTTTGGGAGATGATTAGGTCATGAGGGTCGAGTCCTCATGAATTGGGATTAGTGCCCTTATAAAAGACTCCAGTCTGCAACCCAGAAGAGGTCTCTAACCTGAATTTGCTGGCATCCTGACCTCAGATTTCCAGCTTCCAGAACTGTGAGAAATAAATTTCTGTTGTTTATAAGCCACCAACTTTATGGTACTTTGTTATAGCAGTCTGAACTAAGACAGGCATTAAGTGTCACATGTTCTTCCCTGATTTCCATGCCAACTCCAGGTAACGCAGTGCAGCCTCGGGCCCTTCCGGTTCATAACTACCACTACCACATGCCATCAGGTCTGTCCAAACACGGGCTAGACAGACGCACATGGAATGAGAGTTGCTTTAAATGCCTGCACGGGGTCTACTAACTTCTGTCCTGTTCAGCCCTGAGTGCAGCTGCTTCCTGATTAAGGGAAGTGGTGCTAGGCCAGGTGCACAGATTGGGCATCTCTAGCCTGGTTCCTTGAACCTGTGCTGCTTTTCTCCACAAGGCCACTGACCTTCAGCCATGCCGGCCTTCCAGCTGGTCCTTGAGCCTGCCCAGTTTTCACCTCCAGGCTCTCCCTTCTTGGACTGCTGTCCCTCCTTCACTCAGGCCCTCCCAGGTCACCTTACCTAAAGAGAATGTACTCCTCCCCCCACCTGACCTCCTATATCATCTTGTTTTAGCTGGTCTCTCCCACTAGAAAGTGCACTCCATGCAGCAGAGATGGGGTCTGTCCTGTTCTCTGCTGTCACCCAGCACCTAGGACAGCACTGATACAGAGCAGGTGCTCACTGGTATTTACGGAAAGAATAAACAAGCCTCAGACAACAGCAAAGTAGGAAAAAAAAAATGTGTGAAGTTCAAAAAAATCCAGGAAGATGGAACATCAAACGTGTGTGTGTGTTGGGGGTGGGGTGGGCAGTGGCCGCTACTTCCTGCCATCTTCTCCGGAAGTGAGCTTCAGAAAGATGGATGAGATAGGGTGAATGGTATGAAAATGAGGTACATCCAAAAAACGACCTGGCAAGTAGTCTGGTGGTTCCTCAAACATTATCAGTAATTTACTCCTAGGTATATTCCCAAAGAAATGAAAACATATGTCCACACAAAAACTTGTACGTGAATGGTCCTAGCAGCAGCATTCGGAATAGCCAAAGAGTGGAAACAACCCAAATGCCTATCAACAGATGAATGGATGGATAAATAAAATGTGGTCTATCCATGCAATGAAATATCATTCAGCCACAAAAAAGGAAGGAAATATGATCCATGCTACAACATGGATAAACCTTGCAAACATTACGCTAAGTGAAAGCAGCCAGATACAATAAGTCCACATATCATACAAAGGACTCCATTTGTATGAAATGGCCAGCATAGGGAAATCTGCAGAGACAGAAAGTGGATTAGTGGTTGCTGAGGGTAAGGAGATAGGGGTTTATTGCTAAACGGTACAGGGTTTCTTTTCAAGGTGACGAAAATGTTCTAAAAGGGACTGTGCCTACACATGCCTGTGAACGCTAAAAGCCATTGACACTTGGAGTGAACTGCATAGTATGTGAATTATATCTTAATAAAGCTGTTTAAAAAGAGAAGACCATGGCTATGCATTGGCAGAATGGTCCAGAAATGATGACAGATGAAAGAAAAAAGGAGAGGGGACAAAGAGGAAAGTGGTGTGACAGCCAGCCTTCAACATGACTGCATGAGGATCCTGTGTTTCCTTCATGCTGCCTTCCATACGGGCCTCCGGGGCGGGGGTGGAGCGAGGGGGTGGATATCTATGATAGTGTTTTAAGGTTCTATGGATTTGAGGATTGCGATGAAAATGCCTCTCCAAATGTACCAACAGTGTAGAGCAAAGCTATGCAGAGGTCCTGGGCCTCCCTTGGGAGGCTTCAAGGTAGTATTTGGGGTGGGATTGTCCATATCTCTTTCTACTGTTTCTACAACCCAAAGACAATCACACCTTTTCTCAAGATGGTTTCACACGCATCAATAAAATCCTAGGTGTGTTTAGCTGAAATTGTATCAAATCAAAAGGTTAATGCTGATTATGCTAATCAGAAGTTCAGATCGGCAGGTAGATCATTAATATAACAGTGAGGGAAGAGATTATTTAATATACATAGATATCAATTTTAACTACACGAGGCTCATGGGAGAAAAACAAGCATGATCCTCAGTAGAGAAAAATCTAGGACCACAAAGTTAGTGTCTAAAAGTAAGAACAAAAGAAAATTAGCTAAAGTTTCAGAGCTCAGGATCTTGACATTCAGTTGCAAAATGCAAGGAATTCAATTAAAAATAGAAGTTCATGCACGTGCTTTTTTGTGATTATAAAGTCATACTTCAAAAGAAGCCTAATTTAGGTTGAAATATACAGTTGCTGATATTCAACCATGTTCACCTACAAAAATGACCATTTCCTTATGCTTCTCTTCAGAGTATGAGAGTATATTGCAATTTGGGCAAGAAATTCATATGCAGCCTACCTACCACAAATGAGATATTGGTGTACAAGCAAATTTGGGCAATGGTGGTGTTAGTGGTGAGGGAGATCATTAAATTCTCATGAATTTGAGAGCAGACAATTTAATCCCTACGTTACACCTGAAGAAATAGGTCACAGATGGAAGAGACAGAATGGGGAATCCCACCCAAGTCTGTGTGGCTCCAATGCCTATGCTCCCACCACTACACCCAATTCTCTTAACAGGCCACGAGGCCAAGGGCATCGCCCCCAGGCTGACAGCACTAAATCAGCACCTATGGTCACCTTGGGAAGGATCTTCTCCAGCCAAGTACAGACCCAAGAAGAGCGCCACCCACATCTGCCCCCTGGTGGCAGGTCTACGCATTCAGCTTTGTGTTTCCTTAATTCCGAAAAGATGAGGACTTAGTGAAATGAAGGGAAGGTGGCGAACTGAGTTGGCTTCCTATTCACTGAAATGTGAGTGTTTAATCACCGTTACAGCTATAGCGGGAAAGAACCAAACTGAGTTCCTTGAGGCCTGTTGTTACTCATTGCCTCATCCAGAGACTGGCATCTAGTACAGTGGTCCCCCCTTATCTGTGGTTTCACCTTCCGATGTTTGTTACCTGCGGTCAACCACGGTCTGAAAATATTAAATGGAAAATTCCAGAAATAAACAATTCATACGTTTTGAATTGCTTGCTGTTTTGAGTAGCGTGATGAAATCTCGTGCCATCCGGCTCTGCCCCACCGGGACATGAATTGTCCCTTTGTCCAGCGAATCCCCGCTGTGCACACTCCCCGCCATTTGTCACTTAGTAGCCGTCTGGGTTATCAGATCGACTGTCCTGGTATTGCAGGGCCTGTGTTCAAGTCACCCCTGTTTTACTTAATAATGGCCCCGAAGCACGAGAGTAGTGATGCTAGCAATGCGGACATGCCAAAGAGGAGCCATAAAGTGCTTTCTTTAAATGAAAAGGTGAAAGAAAGTTCTTAAGGAATTTTATCATCTCACATCATCACAAGAAGGGCGAGTACAGTACAATAAGATACTTTGTGAGAGACTATATTCGCATAACTTTTATGACAGTATATTGTTATAATTGACCTACTTTATTATTAGTTATTGTTGTTAATCTCTTACTGTGCCTAATTTATCAATTAAACTTTATCATAAGTCTGCATAATAGAAAAAAACAGTATATACACGGTTCGGTACTATCCAGTTTCAGGCATCCACTGGGGGTCAAACATCTAGAGTAGCCCCTCCTTATCAACATACCCTCTGTTGATAAGGAGGGGCTACTCTAGATGTTTGACTTGACTTCAGATCAACAAAATAAACTTTACCTTTGTAAGAAATGCTCGTATTTCCGCCGGTACGCAAAGCCGGCCCTTCTCACCCGCAGGTGTTCCATCAGCCCTAGGTATTTGACCTGATGCCTTATAAGGAAGTCATCAAACTTGCCTTTGGAAACATAAAAGGGAGAATGACAGTAAAGGACCCCGTGGCTCCGTTTCAACCAAGACAGACCAGAGGCTGCAAGCTGACGATCTGTGAGCTGGGTTTAGCCACAGATATGTTTTCTTAGACCCTAATTATGTTTAATGGGGGAATCTTATAGAAAAATCTGGATTTCTGGTTTCTCTTAAAAAAACATGAGATCTGACCATTCTGGGCCCAGAGTCCCACATGACGACAATGGCTGGAAGAGAGTACTGCTGCCCCTTTAGATAGGGTGTATCCTCTCTAGTTTGCCGCAGTCCCCTCTACTCCCTATTGCCTTACGTCTAGTCTGCTTCACTTATTTGTTCTTCCGGCCTGGCCTCTCTAAGCCTTGACCGTGTGACTCTGTTATAGACCATGACAAGGGCTTAGAAAATACCAAGTTAAGATTGTTCAGTGGCTACAAAGGAGCAACATTACTTCCCCTCGCCTGTGACGCCTGCCTAGCTCAGCTGCATTGCTCTTGAAATAGGCCAAAATCTGAGCAATGCTCACCACCGAAGGAACCCCCCTCCCTACTAATTTACCTTCTATTATTAAAAATGAAAACAATTCATGTCCAGAGAAGAATGAGCAAGCCTGTGGTAGTTTTTAGGATTTTCACCCACTACCATCTTGGTTTTCCTCCCAGCCTCATTGTCCTGAGCTCAGTGTTCAGAATGATTCACAACTCACTGGGTTCCTTCCTCTCATTGGGCTTGATGCAACGAATGTATGAAGGTTCCTTGGAGATGAGAATTTCCAGAAGGCTGCTCAGGCTGTTTTTAAACTGAGTTCCCACCTGCAGGGAAAAAAATAAATAGACGTTGCTACTCCCAATTAATACTGAGAAGACTGGGTTGGGCATAAGACTCTGGCCCTTTAAGTCCCACACTCTCGACAGACTATCCTACCTGTTATCATTTCACCCATGAAAGGAAGGTTTTGGATGTCCTAGCCTGAGGAGCTCAAGCTCAGTCTGGTTAAGCAGAAGTTGGACATCCTTACAGGATGCTTCACTCACTCAGCAAGTAGGCGGTGAGCGCCTCCTAGGAGCCAGCATCACCGCTGAGCCTATGGCCCCCATCTCCTTCCTATTTCCTTAATACCAAGCTTCCTTTATTGCACTCACACTGCTGTTACGTTCTTTATTTGATGGCATTTTCCTATACCATCTCCCACTAGACGGTAAGTCCCATACGCTCAGGGACATTGTCTGTTTTGTTCTTGCTAAATCCAGCACAGTGCCCGACACACAGTAGGTGGTCAGTGAATGTCTGCAAATGACCACACTGCTTGCTAACCTTGGAAAGTATATATTTAGTAGACTCTGTTAGAGAGTCATACTTCAAGAAAAAGGGGAGAACTTGAGAAGTGTAGGGAGCCAGAGGTAACTGCACCCTCTGGCTGATTTTTGCTGCCTTTAAATTTTTCCTGGGCATTTTACCCACTCACCGTTGGCGACCTTCTCCGGTTTTCTAACTCGGCTACCAGGAAGCATTCCTTTAGGATGCTGTTTTTGGACCTGCACAGCACCTGTAAGCAAAGAGAAATGAGCACCACATTTGCTTCTTCACAAATCACTATGGGGCTTTCAGATAAGCTCACATGAGTGTGCACGATGGACCAGAGCCATTTGCTACAGAAGCCCTTGAAGAAGAGGGAAAAAAATACAATCAAGTGTGAAAGAAAATGTTCAAATACTATATCCACTGCCATATCTACTTGCTGAGGCCATCTGACTGTTTTTCCTTGGACACGATGAAGCCATAACTGTTTCTACTCCAGCCTAGCTGCTACAAGGTCAGCGGGTTCTTTGAGAATGATCTTCAAAGACAGACATACATACAGCCAACAGATATATGAAAAGATGCTCAACATCACTAGCTATAATGGAAATGCAAATCAAAACTGCAATGATACCACCTCACACCTGTTAGAATGGCGATCATAAATAAGACCAGAAATAATGAGTGCTGGAGAATATGTGGAGAAAGGGAACCCTCACACAATGCTGGTGGGAATGTAAATTGGTTCAGCCACTGTGGAAAACAGTATGAAGATTCTTCAAAAAATTAAAAATAGAGCTACAGTATGACCCAGCAATCCCCGCTCTGGGTATCTACCTTCCAAATTTGAAAGCAGTTATTTGTAAAGCTATATATCCCTACGTTCATTGCAGCATTATATACAGTAGCCAAGGTATGGAACCAAACCCAGTGTCCTTCAATGGATAATTAAATAAAGAAGATATGGTACATATATACAATGGACTACTACTCAGCCATTAAAAGATGAAATATTGCCACTCGTACCATGGATGGATCTTGAGAATATCATGCTAAGTGAAATAAGTCAGACAGAAAATAACAAGAACCATATGATTTCACTCATATGTGGGATATAAAGCAAAAAGCAACAAATGAACAAAAAACAAAAAACAACAAAAAAACGGAGATACAGACAACAAAATGGTGGTTACCAGAGAGGAAAGGGGGTCAAAAACATGGTGACAGAAGGACACTAGACTTAAGGTGGTGGCACACAGTAGAGTATACAGATGTTGTATTATAAAGCTATATACCTGAAACCTACATAATGTTATTATTAACCAATGTCGCCCCCAAAATTTGTATTAAATAAAGAACAATCTCCAAGATAAGATGTTACATGAAAAAAAGCGAGATACAGTATTGCTTGTATGGTGTGTTATTATTGTGCAAAGAGAAGGAAAAAGAGTGGGGGGAGATACACACACACACACACACACACACACACACACACACACACACACACACACTTTCTGGTCTGTACCAGCCCAGCCCTGGAAAGATACACAATAAACTGATAAGATCAGCTGGCTCATAGCAGAACCACTAGGTGATATTGGACCAAGGACATTGGCTTTTGTCCTGTTTGGTTTTCTTTTCCCCATGTACAGAATTTCAAAATAATCTATATTACCAAAAGTCTTTAATTTAGAAAAAATTTAATTTGACACTAAAAAATTTTTTTTCCTTATAGCCATACAATGGAATATTGTTCAGCCTTAAAAAGGAAGGAAATCCTGACACACGCTACAACATGGATGAACCTTGAGGATATATGCTAAGTGCAATAAGCCAGTCACAAAAACACAATTATTATATGACTCCACTTATATGAGATACCTAGAGCAGTCAAACTCATAGAGACGAAGCAGAATGCTGGTTACCAGGGGCTGTGGGGAAGGTGGAATAGGGAGCTATTGTTTGATGAGGACAGAGTTTCAGTTTTACAACATGAAAAGAGTCTAGAGGTGGACGGTGGTGATGCCCCAACTCATATAAACAAAACGGATTGGTGGCTGCCAGAAGCGGGGCGGGAGTGGTGAAATGGGCAAAGGTGGTCAAAAGGGGCAAACTTTTTATTTTACAGACTAAATAAATCATGGGGATGTAATGCACAGCATGGTGGCTACAGTTAACAATATTGTATTGTGTATCTGAAAAGTTGCTAAGAGAGTAAATCTTAAAAGTCCTCCTAAGGAAAAAATGTATAATCTTGTGAGGTGATGGATGTTGACTAAACTTGTGATAATCATATGACATATACAAATACATCATTATGTTGTACTCCTACAGTTAACACACTGTTATGTATCAATTAAATCTCAATAAAAATTATTAAGACGGTAAATTTTAATATATATAATTTACCACAATTTTTTAATTTTTTAAATAAAAAACATGTTTTCTTGTTTAACCCACTTGGATTCTAAATTTACAGGGGCATGAAAGAGTAAATTGCAGACGAGAGAGAAAAAAGTAGAAATGACCCATCTCAAAGTCAAAAAAAAGTACAAGAAACTTCAGCCTGGTTGGTGAAGCAACAGACTTGGAGATTTTCCCTGTGAAGCACCTCCGTGGATGGTTTGTAAAGGGACTGGGCATGGCCCGTAGAGGGGAAAGCCACGAGAGAAATTTTATCTTCCATTTGTCAGCCAGGCCCTTCTACTCCTGTGTCATTCACAGTGACTTCAAGAGAAAGACACCGATGAGGACATCTGTCATGAGACCCCCAGTGGGGACAGGGTCAGGTTGACATTCAGACCCAGAGAGACCCACCTGGAGCAGAGATCCAAAGTTAAGAATCACTTCTCTAACCTGAATCCTGGAGTTTGGGACAAGGAGTCTTAGAAGTGGTAGAGAAAGATCGGGAAGGGCAGAAAACATTCCTCCAATGAATCATTTCCGTGTTCACCATAATAATGTCTCCTCTAGGTCTAAGCTTTTTATAGACCAAGATAATTAAATAAAATACAACTTGGTACAAAACAGTTAACTATCTCAATATAAAATGAAGGCTTTAAAAACCCAAGGCTTCTCTGATTAGTGGCTTATATGGAAGAAGACTGGGAGTTAGCCCCAGGGACTAATCTTGGTCTTTGCCTTACCTTGAGATGTGACCTTGAGCAAGTCACAACCTCTCTGGGTCTCAGTTTCCTCATCCTCAGTTCATGTTCACCCCAGTATATTTCCTACTCCACCCTGGGGACCCTGCTGAGCCCTCAGCCCCCTCTACCATCCATCTAATGTTAGGTAATAGACTCTTAACATTACCTCTCACTGAACACACAGTGAGCTTGTCTGGGCCTCAGGACCTTTGCACACAGCTGGTTCCTCTACCTGGAGTAACCCCGATCTTTCCATGGCCAGGATCAGTCTCACTCAGCTTTCAGCTTAAAGTCACTTCTACAGGGGTGTTTTCTCTGATCCTCTAAACTAACTTTAAAATGTCCCCCTCAACCACAATTCCTTGCTTATTTCTCTTTATAGCACTTTTCACTGAAGGATAACTTATTTATGTACGTATATACTTATTCTTGGCCACTATTCTCCCTCCCACCCCCCCACCCCCCACCAAATGATGGAAAGCCCCATGAGAAAAAGGACTGTCTTGTTTACTGCTAAAACTCCAGACTTAGCACAGCACCTGGCCCATGGAAGGGGCACCACACACACTTGAACGGGTTTATTGAATGAAAGGTTCACACAGATGATAATAAATGTGTGTTCTAGCCATGACATGCTGGAGTTCTAACGTAGCTCATGGAAAATCTGGAAGACCATATTTACCCCAAAATCGATGTCACAGGTGATATCTCATACCCATCAGAAACACATACAGTTAAGTTTCAGACTTACCTCTTTCAGATGCCTATAGAGGAGATCACTGTTTTTTTCCAAGAATCCTACAAAACATTGAGTAAAAAATTTTTGAATCAATGGCTTTGCCTAAAAATGCAATTCCATCCCAATTGATTCAAAGGGAAATGCTAAAAATAATCTCCTAGCATTAGACGAGAATTCTCAGCCTCAGCACTATGGCATTTGGGGCTGGATAATTCTCTGTTGTGGAAACCATCTTGTACACTGTAGGATGTTTAGCAGAATCCCTGGCCTCTACCCACTAGATGATAGTAGCACCTTCTCCAGTTGTGACAATCGAATATGTCTCAAGACATTGCAAGTTGTCCCTGGGGGTAAATTCATCTCTGAGAACCAGGTCCTCAGATCCGAACTTATGGCACACATGCTACCCTCTAAATCACAATGAGCTACCGCATGAACATACAGCCTTTACTTTATTGAGCATTGTATGCGTACCCTAGTCCAGTAGCAAAGAACTATACATATAATGAATGACATCGAAATAATGGATGGGGCACTGAATGTTAAGAGCCACCAGGTGAGACTATGCAGATGGATGAGGAAATCAGGCCCACTGCTAAGAAAAATCAAACTCAAGCATCATACATCTTCATACAAAGGAAGACATATCATTTCCAATGTTAAAATTTGGCTTAGAGTGCTCACTTAAAACCTCATCGATTAATTAAATGAGGAACAAAGTGGCATTATAAAGTCAAAACCAGCTAGAAAAGACATGCATCAAAATGTCTAAGATACAACCTTTTAAAATGACAATTTCGAGTTATCAAAACTAAAATTTTTATTGTAGTAAAATATACATAACATAAAATCTACCATTTTAACCATTTTTAAGTATATACTTCAGTGGCATTAAGTGAATTCACAATGTTGTGTAACCATCACTACCATCCGTCTCTAGAATGTTTTTGTCTTCCCAAACTCTGTACCTCTTAAACACTACCTCCCCATTCCCTCCTCCTCCAGCTTCTGATAATCCTTACTTTACTTTCTGTCTATAAATTTGACTACTCTAGGTATCTCACATAAGTAAAATCAAACAGTATCCTTTTGTGTCTGCCTTATTTCACTTAGTATAATGTTTCCACAGTTCATCCATGTTGTAGCATGTGTTATACTTCCTTTTTATGGCTGAATAATGTTCTATTGGTTTTTATATACCACGTTTTGTTTATCCATTCATCCATCAATGGAAACCTGGGTTGTTTTCACCTTCTGGCTATTGCGAATAATGCTGCTATAGAATGGGTGTACAAATGCCCATTCAAGTCCCTGCTTTCAATTCTTTTGTGTATATACCAAGAAGTGGTCAAAACGAAGTCTGACAGAACCCTTACCTCAGCAATGCCACTTCTGGGAATTTATCCTATGTATATAATGTGCACAAGTTGGCCAAGTAAAATATACAAAGACGTCAGACGTAGCAGTGTAAGAGACAAACTTAGAAACATCTAGTGTCAAATAGATGACAAAACACATCCCTATGAGGAATGCCTTAGCTTTTCAAAAGAAATGTGGTAGAGCCTGTATTCTTCTGGGAAGAGTACATGCAGGTCTAGAGGCAAAAAGGCGAGTCTATACCCCAACTCTGCCCCTTACTAGCTGTGTGACCTTGGGCAACTTAATTTCTCTGAGTTCAGTTGCCTCATAGATGAAAAGGGGGATAATAATGCTCCCCCACCTCACTGAGTTCTGTAACATTTAAGTGAACAACAGAGGTAAAGGACCTGAGACAATGCCCAGAGTAAGTGCTCAATTAATGTTAGTTGGAATCCAAATGATCTCCAAAATTCCTTAAGTGAAAAATGCAAAAATATGAAACAGAATAACAAGAATCTGTTGGTTCTTGTGGTTACTTCAGGGGAGATAATGGGTAAAAGGGGCTTTTAATTTTCTTTTCTATGCTGTCAGCAATTTCCAGCCTTACATGTATATTACTATTATTCTTTAAACAAAAATCAATAGACTATATAAATGGAAAGATTTGTCCTAAAGTTTTTCTTTTTTATACCACTCTGCATTTAAGGGGAAAAAACCTAATACATGTTATATCACTTTTTAAAGATTCTTAGAGAAATAAACTTATTTAGAAGTAAAAATAATTTAGAACCTAAATCAGAGGTAACAAAAGAAAATGTTTTTAAAATATTTTGAAAGAAAATATTCATAGCAGCATTACTTATAATAGCCAAAAAGTATAAACAAATGTCTATAAACTGATGAATGCATAAATAAAATGTGGTATATCCATGCAGTGGAACATTACCTGGCAACAAAAAAGAAGTAGCAGCATGGATGAACCTTGAAAACATTCTATTAAGTAGAAAAAAATTAAGTGGGCTTCATAATAAGAACTTCAGGGCTTCAAAGGAAACCATTAAAGAAGTGAAAAGACAACCACAGATTAGAGAAAATCTCTGCAAATCATATAGCTGGTAAGGAACTTGTATCCAGAATATATAAAGAACTCTTACAAGTCCATAAAAAGAAGACAAACCAATTTTTAAAATGGGCAAAGGATCTGAATAGATGTTTCTCCAAGGAAGATATGAAAATGGCCAATAAACACATGAAAAGATGCTCAGCATCTTTAGTCATTAGGGAAATGCAAATCAAAACCAGAATAGATAGAGTATTCACACCCACTAGGATGGCTGGAATGAATAGGCAGACAATAACATGTGTTGATGAGAATGTGGAGAAATTGGAAACCTCATACACTGCTAATGGGAAGGTAAAATAATGCAACCACTTTGTAACAACTTGGTAGGGACTCAAATGGTCTAGCATAGAGTTACCATATGACCAACAATCCACTCCTAGGTATCTACTCAAGAAAGACGGAAACATATCCGCACAAACACGTATACAGGCACATTCAGAGCAGCATTATTCATAACAGCCAAGAAGTGTAAACAACCCAAATGCCCATCAAGTGATGAATGGATGAACAAAATGTGGTATATATCCATACAATGGATTATTTGGCAATGAAAAGGAATGACACAATGGATGAATCTTAAAAACATGCAAAGTGAAAGAAGTTAGACAGAAAAGACCACATATTGTATGTTTCCATTTATAAGCAATATGCAGAATCAACAAATCTACAAAGACAGAGCAGATTGGCTTGTTGCCTAGGGCTGTGGGGAATGAGTTTGGGAGAAAATGGGGAGTGACTGCTCATGTGTACAAGTTTCTTTTGGGGGCGATGAAATGTTCTAAAATTGACTATGGTGATGGTTATGCAACTATATTAATGAATACACTAAAAACTATTGAATTGTTTACTTTAAATGGGTGAAATATATGATGTGTGAATTATCTCAAAGTGGATATATATACACGTAGTAAATAAATTTTAAAAGACTTCAAATGGCACACTTCAAATGTGGGGCTAGGGAACATGTGGAGAAGGGTATGCAGTATTTCTTCAGTGGACACAGAGGCATCTGCATGGCTGTGACTTGTGGCCTGTGCCCCCAGGACACTCACCTTTGGTGCAGTATGTGACCTCTCCTGCATAGTGGAAGAGTCGGAACTCCATCCAGCCAATCCTCTTTCGGCCCTTAGGACCTGCCAGCTTCCGGCTACAGAAAAACAGAAACAGACAAGAGCTGAACCTTTCTACTTCATGGCAACAAAATGCACCAGCACATAAAGCAAACAGAGAGGGCTCTGAAAAGGTGTTTAGGACCACGACAGTTAACTGAAGGCTGGCACTGAAAGCTAACCACATACAGCAGCTCCCAGGAAGCTTTGCTGCCTGACTTCACCTGGCTACAAATCAAGGTCTCTCTAAAATTAGATCCTTCCTTCTCATGAGCACTGAGGAATAAAAAACATACCTGAACCACAGGAACATGTTTATTTGTACAATGAAGTAGTTTCCATTTTTCTAAGTGATAGCAAAGAAACAATTTTACTACCTTATATTTTTATGACGTTAAGAGACTAAAATACTCATGCAATATCATTTTTCAGATTCTGGTGCTTCGTAATTTTTAAATAACTGTTTCTTGAAACATGTAGACATATATACTGACAGTGCACATAGCCTAGATGTATACAGCTCAATGATTTCTCTTGTTTACATGTGTGTGATTTACCCACATCATTGCATAGTTACAGATCGTTCATTCTAATGGCTGACCATTTGTGAATGTACCACAAGTTATTTTTCCATTCTTGAGTCATTTACTTATCCAATTCCATTTACTTATCTTTTTGATATCCCACAACAGTTTTGATAAAGCCACTACTATTTATTGAGTCCTTACTATGGCCAAAAATTGTACTAGATGATTTATGTAATCATTTACAATGCTATATGGTAGGTATATTAATATCCCCATCTTGTTGAAGGGGAAACTCAGATGCATGAGTGTTTCTTGCCCATTGTTATATGTCTAGTAAGTGGCTGAGCCGGGATTCAAAACCAGGCCTCTGACTCCAGAGCATATGTATGCTCTTAAATTCCTTCCTCATCTCAAAGACTGAGTTTATTTCTAGTTGATCTTCTGGGATAATGGAAATGCTCTATGTTTGGATCTGTGTGGTGGTTATGTGGGTACACACAAATATAAAATTCATTGGGTTGTACAGTTTAGGTATACGTGTCACTGTACGTATTTTATACCTGAATTTTTTTTTTTTTAAAAAAAGACCATCTCATGCATGTGGACATGTCCAATATGAAACGATCATGAATAAAGCAAGATACAACATCTTTAAAATTTTCTGACTTGGAAATCATTTGAGTTTGATTTTCACTAAAAAAAGGTATGCATATACAGTAACTCCTCACTTAACATCATGAATAGTTCTTGGAAATGTGGCAAAACAACATATAATGAAACCAATTTTACCATAGACTAATTGATGTAAATAAGAGTTAAGTTCCCGTGGCATCTCATCAATGTTAGAATGAAATGACATTATTCGAGGACCTGTTGTATATGATTTGCTGTATCATAATGATATTTCTATTATGAAAAAGTAGCTGTACTCCTGGGGAGCACTACCCGAGAAAAGGGATATTCAATGATCTTCCTCCACACAACAGCTATCAAATGAGATACATACGTTTGGAAATGTGCATGCTTGCCCACTTTCTCTTCCAGTTTTTCCAGGAAGCTCAAGTCTGTAGCTGGACCAGGACGAATACATTCTTCATCCTTCAGAAGGAAAAAAGAAGCCTCAATCCATAGGATCACACTCCATCAATTCCAAGTTTAAATGCTTTCACCCGCTGTGGCAGAATGTACTGGACTAAAATACTGTCATCTCACACAAGTTCAGGTGAACATTTCAGGGTAGGGTGGCTCATCCATCACATGTGCTCAGCTTCTTGGATTTGATAAGGGGATTGTGGAACCAGAGAGACTGGAAATTCCATAAAAAAACAACTCCAAGAGCATATCTCCTTTTGCTAGGAGCAAAGCCTTCATGGAAAGCAAGCTATAAAACCAGTTGAGTCTAACCTTTCATACTTCTCAAGCTGTGCCTTTCTCAACGGACAACATTTAATTGATCATCTTAAAAAATTAAGGATGAATCAATCAACCCTGTAGCTTTTATTAAAACAACAAAAAACCTCGGTTAAGGTTGGTGAGACAACCCTTATAAAGTAGCATTTCTATGCTTTCTGATCTTGTCTATGGAAAATGAAATGAAAACAAGGATTTATTACTAAAAGATTTTAAAATACTCGTCTAGCAATCCATATGAACATTGAATGCACATATGCTAGCTTAACGTCAGTCCTTGCTTCCAGGAACATGCTTCCCCAGATGTCCACACAGCCTGTGTCCTCACCTCTTTTAGGTCTTTGTCAGGTCAAGTGTCACTTTCTCAGTGAGTCCTTCCTAAACCATCTTACCTAAAATTGAGCTCCCCTCTCCAGCACATCTAATTTTTTTTTCTTTTTTCTCCATTGCACAATCTACACATTTTGCCCATCAACCTGTTTGCTGTCACTCTCTCCATGTGAGTGCAGGGGTTTTGGTCTGTTTTGTCCAATGCTGTGTCCCAAAGCACAGGGTACAATCTTGTCACAGAGTAAGCATTTGGCAAGTATTTGTTGAATGGAGTCTGCATGTCTCCCATGGACTAGGCATAGCTCTAAGGCCTCTGCATGAATTACCTCACTTAATTTGTCCTTACAGCTGCTGAGGGAAGTGCAGTTATCATTGTACATATTTAATGATGATGAAACTGGAACTCAGAGAGGTTAAAACACCTGCCTAAAGTTACATAGCTAATAAGCAGCTGGGGCTGGGATTTGAATCCAGGTGGTGCCCACGTTCCTGGGAACTAGTCACTACCCATTAGTGTCCCTGCCGTGCTTTAGAATACTGGATTCACACAGTGGTTAGGTGGGGATGGGGCAAAAGGAAAAAGGAAACCAGTTATTTTCATTAAAAGGGAGGCAAATCATGGTGCAGACAATCCTGAATGAAAAGGCGAGGAAATCATTTCTCATTGGCCCTTAGACTTTATTTTTAAAATTGATGTTTGAATTGGAACAGTTATGGATTTGAGAACACTGATGTTCTCAAAAGTCACGACAGTTCAAAACAAGATCAAAAGCCCACCCCAAGGAGCCTCAACTCAACCTCGATGGATGCTCTTTGTGAAGTCTTCCTTTACGTGTTTCGGCTTCCTGCCAAGTACTAAGCATGGAAGTAGTCCCTTCTCAACTGCCACCTAACACCTGCCCACACTGGATCCCATTTTCGGGCTCATTCTTCCAAGTCTACGGAAGATCGATAATGCATCCTCTCGTTTCAAAGGTCTTTCCTTGCTATCTCCAGATGGGCTATAATATAGATCTATACATTGAAATGAGAGGAGAAAGTTCAGCTTAAAGCTCTGAGCAAGAATTCAGCAAAACAAAACAAAACAAAACAAAACAAAAACCCAACATGTAGATCTATACATTGAAATGAGAGGAGAAAGCTCAGCTTAAAGCTCTGAGCAAGAATTCAACAACAAAAACAAACAAACAAACAAAAACAAACCAACAAAAAAACTCACAACTCATACATTTTAATCATCTCGTAGATTCCACTCTCAAACCTTTGTAAACTTGGGAAAAAGTTCTGCCATGTATCGTAAATGCCATGTGTATGGGATCTAGGTCCATATTAACTTTCTCACCAAAATGGAAATGATTCCTTTGTGTCTCTCTTCTACCAAATCACAGATGATCTTGTTGTTGAAATACTGAATTGGCTCCCACTAAAATGACAAAGAGGAATGAATTCTCCAAGAAGGATTTAGATGAGCGTAAAATAGATCTCTTTTTTAATTGATTTTTCAGCTTTTTCCCCCCAAATCTGATTATCTCTAATATTAAAAAATAATAATAATACTTTCTGAAAGTCAAAATGATTTCCCAAGAAACAAGCAGAGAAGGTGTGAAAAATAATTCTTAGTACTAATCAGGAAAAATTACCAATGAAAAAACATTCTCAAGTCAACATTTCACTAGATTAAGAAATCAAATGAAGAGAAAAACATCAAAACCTTTACCTCTATACCTTCCATTTCATATTCTGCCTGTTCTGCTTTTAGGGTTCTCTCAATTAACAGTTGCTGGAGTTTCTCATTGCAGTAATTTATACAGAACTGTTCAAAACTAGAGATGCAAAAGATTTAAATAACTAAAGCTATGCAAGTAAGCCAATTTTTTAAAAAACTGTATTTACTATTTTTAAGGATGCTTTCTAGTATAGAAACAGCAAAGCACTTATTAATCAAATAATTTATAAACTAGGTCACAAGAGTGGGCTAAAAGATATTTGCACTTTTTACTGTTATTACATTTCTGGAACAATCTTTGAATTAGGGGCCATGCAAATCTGGAGAACTTCTGGGGACTGGAAAATCAATTCTAATAAGAGATGCCTTAAACCAGACTGACACCTTGAAGAAGAACAAAGGACTGGTAGGTAATAACAAACTCACCCATTCTTGTCAAAGACTTCAAAGCCATAGATATCCAGCAATCCGATGACAGTTTTCTTGGTGAACTCCTAGTCAGAATAACACACACTGTTCATCATTAGGTCTTTTACTTTGTGACACTCAAAACCCGGTAGCTACTCCCAAATCTGGGACTTGGCTATTAATGCTCATGCCTTCTCTCTCCAACAATGGCTCACAGAAAAACCTTAGGGTGGAAATACTTTCCCCAGCCCACTCCTCCTGCCTGCAGCCTGCCCAGATCCCATCCCAGCTTCCATATCCATCACCTGAGCAGTGAGACCTTCCCCTTCTGATTTAGTTCCTTGCTTCAACGCTCCTCAGCCTCCCAAGACTACATTCAATCCAAAAAGAAGAAAAGGAAAAGACCTATGAACAGCCAAGGAGATGTTTATCTATGAGACAGGACAGGTAGTATGGATATCATTTTAGATAGAGGGCCAAGTGCTGTCAGATGAGGATGGCTATTTAAAGAGAATATGCCTATTTTTAAAAAGGGACACAATTGAATATCTGCGTGGCGTACACACATCTTTTTGTGTGCTTCACTTTATTACACTTCACAGATGTTGCATTTTTTCAAATTGAAGGCAAGACCTTCCACCAGCGAAAAGATTATGACCCACTTTATTGTGATACTTGCTGTATTGTGGTGGTCTGGAACCACACCCTCAGTAACTCTGAGGGATGCCTGCACTGAGGTGATGCCTCCCAAATCTGTCCATTGCATTCCACCTCCAAGAGTTTCATCGCCCTCACGTACCTTGTCCCCTGGCATCATTTCCTTAATTTCTAGCTTTGAATAAATTCCATTTTTAATTTAAATAATTCCATTTAAAAAGAAAATGTGACCATAGGGTGAGTTCCAAAGAGTTGTATTTTTTTCTGATACACATTAAATATACTACTGTTAAAACAGAAAATTACACTTAAAGCCATCTGGCATATTTTGAATGCTGTGCATCCCATACTTTGGGACACACTGCAAAAATCATCCAGCATGCATTTTTGTGAGCCTACTGTGTGCTAGAATGTAGGTGTGAGAAGATACCATCCTGCCCATAGGAGCTTACAGTCAGTTCTCACAAATTGTTTAGAGTCATGATGTTGATTATATCACATTACCATGTTAGTGAGAGCAAGGCATCCAAAATACATGGGCTAACCTTGTTCACTAAGGAGGAATTGATTTTGTTGACCAGCCAAGTGAACATTCGTCCATAAACAGCCTTCGCCATTGCATCTCTAGCGTAGAGAGAGAGTTCTAGCGTCAGTGGGCATATCACCTGAGAAGAACAACAGCTGCATTGTTACAGAGGTTTAAAAAAAAGCCCCGAGTTTTGAAATGATGATCAGCGAAGGATACGTGCTGTGGGAAGGTGCTTCCCCGGCCTGTACGCATGCACAGAGTAGCTATTTCTTGAGTGCCAGGCACTGTGCTGGGCTGAGACACAGTCAAGGCAAAGACCATTGAAGCCTTTGTGGGCTGGGCTCACATTTGCAGGAGGTGGCATGGTGGGACAGTCAATAAGTCACACAAAGAAGAATCATGTCGTTCTTAAGTTGAGAATGACAAGTACTATACGGAGATACATGTGGTGCTGTAGGGCAGGGGTGGGATGGGGCAGGGAGGGCTCCTTGAGAGTGCGACCCCTGGGGACTAAAGGATGAGGAGGCATCGACTAGACGAAACGTAAAGTAGAGTGCCCCAGTTGAGAGAACAGCATAGGCAAAGACTCTGTACAGGGAAGGCATGGCGAGTGTGAGGCATGGAGAACTAGAGACAGTGCGATGGTGAGGGACGGGGAAGGTAAGGCAGGAGGTGGACCATGCAGGACCTGGTGGGCCGGGATTGGGGGTTGGGCCTCCCCTGGGTCCACCACCCTGCAGGCAGCAGCAGTGGGGAGGGCAGGTACATTTCCACCCAGAGCCATTTTACCTCTTCGGTTTTGGTTTCGATCTTTCTATGGGTGAGAGCTTCCAAAAGGACCGATGGTTGGACCCCCAGGAGCTGAATAAATGGAAACCAAAATGCCATTCAGGGACCCGATTTTACTCGCTAGCTTATGAAGAGTTTGTGGAGTTTCCAGGCCCAGGGTTCTCTGCCCTGGCTGATAATTGTGCTTTAATGCAAAACAGACCACATTAGATCTTTCATCGACTAACTGGCTTTTACCCACGTTCTCACCGCCTCTGCACTCTTTGGAGCTCCCAACCAGTACCAACTGGAAGAACATGGTCTCAGCCATTTGGACCATTGCCATCCAGCTGCCTCCCTCCCCTCTCCTTCCTCTCCACCTCTGAAGGCAAACATCACCTTGGCTATCCATTTGATCTCGTGGGTGACTGGTATGATGGCACAGCCTTGGTGGTTCTCTCCAAAACAAACGTTCCCCAGGTGTAGGATGCTGGCAATAATTCCAAAGAGATTCTAGGGACGTGGAAAGTGGTAAGGAGAGGGAGAGAAGACGGCAGCTGCCTGATGGATAAATGTCATCAGAGGAGATACCCGAAGGAAAACCACCCTTCTTCCCACTTCCAGCCCTGAGCTTACATAACCGAATTTCTTCCTCTCTCAGAAATGGGCCTCTTAGCCACTTCCACTTCGGATATTAAGGGAAGCGGGGAGAAAGAGCCCCAGCAGCAGAAGGTGGGGAAGATGCCTCAATCTCCAGCACAGGACACTTCTATTTTTAGATCCCCCCAACCCAATAAACTATTTAATGTTCAAATGCCAGGGTCCTAAACACATGCATTCGAATCATATTCTGGTCTTAAAAGATCAATAGTTTAATAATTTTAAAAAAGACAAAAAGATGTAAAAACCATGTTTACGAATCCTATCATTTGTTCATCTGTTCCAAAATAGGAATGTAAATAATAATTCTATGAGAATTCATTATCTGTGAACGTCTATGAGATTTAAATATTTGAGACCAAACTTGAGGGAAAGAAGAAACATCACCTCCTCCTTCCACACAACACTGGAAAAACAGAGATGCCAGAAAAATGCAGAGCACCCAGTTGACATTTGAATTTCAAATAAGTAATGACTGATTTTTTAGTGTAAGTAGTCCCGTACGATGTTGTGATATACTAAAAAATCAAGTCACTGCTTATCTGAAATTAAAATGTAAGTAGGTGTCCCACATTTTTATTTGCTGAATCTGGTAACCTTACCGTGCAATCACCAGAAAACTAGAACCATCTCCTCAATCCCAGACCTACTGGCAGTTCTGCCTCTAAGACCCATACCTCAAGGTCATCTTCAGTAAAATCGATGACAGAAAAGGCATTGGAAACAGTTTTCCAGTCATTCTTGTCATTAATAGACGACTCGTTGGCACCATGACCCTGTTGACACAGAATTGGGTCACTTAATGGCATTTTTAGAGGATAGTTAGGCATGTGAAGACCTATTCCTAAATCAAAAAGGTTTTCTCTCCAAGCATGCAAGAGCTAGTTCCATAACATTCTGAACTGTGAAAACACGTTTTACTTTAATCACCTAGCATGTGATGATTTGCCAACTGCTGCTTTATTCAAATTTATCTGAAATTTTATTTAAAAATCTCTGTTCCAGGAAAACTTTCAAAGTTACATATTAGTAACATATCTTTTGATGTGTTTTTTAAAAGAGCTTTTCTTGCCATTTTTGCTAAATAAATTGAAGACACTTATCTCAATAAATACCTGCTGAAACACAGAAGAGAATAACAGTGCTTAAATTCAGAAAAACAATCTTGACACATGTGGCCACCACCAGCAAAAACTTTACTGCAGGACTAGATGGAAGACGACTCTCATTCAAGGAAATAAAATTTGGCATTTAGAGAAACACAGTGTATATGGAAACGATCACCAGCAGAGGTAAGATAAGACTTTTCTCACTAACTCTAGACGTTGTCTTTTCAATAAGTAACAGATGGACCAATGTCATAATTTAAAGAGAAAACATTCTAGATGAGGGGTTTTATTAATACAGGGTATTCTTAGTTTCCCAGTTATCTGAAGATTTGTTATCTTAAAAGATTTCTTTGTTGCATAGGGAAGCCAAAGGTGTCATACCATGAAAATATTCACCAGTGAACTAGCCAGTGTTAAATCTGCAGCCTCCCAAATATCCCTTTTCCCACACGGTCAGCAGCATCTGCTCCTGCCCATCAAGGGCAGGGTCTGTGCAAGTCAGTCCTCTGAGTACACCTACCTAAAGCTTTAGAAGCAGTGCAAACATACAGCAAAGTAAAGCCACATAGCTTGCCAAAGTTACAGGCATCATGAAATCAATCAAAAGAATACCAATTCTTAGACCATTTCCAAAGTCATTGTGTCATGAGAATCTGGCCAAATTAATCTGTCCGGAAAAAATTAACAAGGACATGATATCTTTTCAAAGAGAATGATTTGATTACCAACGGCTGGGAGAAGCCCTTGGGAAAATGGATGAAGCTTTCGAATATTTTTACAAATTGATTCTCGCTGATCATGCTATGGAAAGCCAAATGTGGCTTAGCTGGAAAAATTAGGTCCTCAAAAAGAAAAAAAGTAAAATTTGATGTATTCTTTGTTCTAAGAATGAACACAAAGTGTGTTAAACATTAAAATGAGATCATGAGATCTGTTTATTTTCAATATTTAGCTTCATTTTTCAAGATAAATTTCAGTTTTTTTTTTTTCATGTCTTACTATGAAATGTCAGTCCCTGTTTTCTCCTTCTCAAATTGCGTCTCTACTTTCACTCTGCCAAGTGACCTCCACTCAAAGCCAGACCCAGTGAGGAGAAAAATCCAAAAATCTTGGGACAAAAAGGCACCAGTGACATCAAATACTGATCGGTGCTACATAGTCTGGGCATCCTAGAACCTTAGTACTGGCTGCAGGAAAATTAGTTCTGGGAAGTTAAATTCAGAGAGTCAATTTTACAACTCTAGATCTCAAGATTGCTTATAGGAATGGCCTACACTATTGCTTAAGGGAGGATGTTCATTTTGCAGCTAACAATTCTTAGAATGGAAGGCAGGAAGGTGCAAAAAGCCTTTTCCAAACTGGATTAGAAGGCAAAACAATGGAGCATAAGCTGTGGACATAGATGGACAGCGAGTTTCCATCACACCCAAATCAGCAGTTCTCGCCTCACTGTGCCTTAGAATCTTTGGGATTAATTTAATTACATTTATAATCTCAGGGAAGTGTTAAAACAATGCTGATGTCCAGGCTCCACCCCAGACCAATTAAATCTGAATCTCTGGAGAGTAGAGCCCAGGCATTTGTATGTTTAAAAAGCTCCTCAGTTGATTCTAATTTCAGCAGGGGCAGAGAACCACTCACCTAGATACTGACTTTACCAAGATGATACACCTGGCAGGCATAAAAGGAGGGGTTTTGATAAGTGTCAAGAAACCAGTCAGTAGGATACCTTCATAATAGTAATGAGAAAGTTCGTGGACATCCCATAGAAGCCCCCACAAATACCCCTGATCCACCCTCCGAAGGATCATCAAAGCCAGGTGCTGGCTCTTCTGACCTGTGACAGGTATTTGTACAGCTTGGGGTCTCGCTCCAGTCCCAGGTAAGCAAGGAGCTCCTCTTCGCCACCCTCTAGCAGCTGGTAGAAGATGTGGAAATTCCGCTCACCCAGGTTTTGATAGACGACACGAGACTTTTCTATCAAGTAACTGATG